TATTATCTATTAAATTAGAAGAAGTAGTTTTAGAAATAAAATTAGTAAATCATTGAGCTTGTTAGACAATTCCTGTAGTAGCAAGGTTAAAGATATGATGATAAGAGGTTTCTTATACTATTTGTAAGTTAGAGGTTTTAATAGGTAGTAGAAGAGGTACGTTAGTAAAAAGAGGTGAGGAAGTTCTGTTTCTATCTCATGGAGAGAAGTTAATGTAAGTAGTATTTTCATTGTAAGAAAGTAGAGATATAGTATGTTGGGGTTCTATAATTATATTTTTTGGTCCTAAACTTTAGCTTAAACTATCTTGTACTTGGGTACTAAATTCAAAAGAGGTATTGTCTAAATTAATTATAGGAGATCCTAAATTTCCTAAAGCAGTTTGAAGGCTTTAAGTAAAGAAAGGATTATCTGCAACTGGGTTGTTTAATTGTTTAAAGAAATAATCGAAAGGGGTGATATCAAAAGAAGTAGGTAAATAAAAGGTAAGAGAATATCAGGTATATTTAGCAAAAAGAGTTTGAATAATTTGTTTAGAGTTTTTAAGAGGTGTGCTATATCAGCAACTAAAAATAATTTCATATGCTACAGCTTTAACTTGGTTATAAGTTGGGTTTGTAGTTAGAGTTATATGGGTAGCAACAGTTCATTAAGTATATTTAGTAGCTTTGTATGTATAATAGTACTAGGTCCAAAATCCTCGGTATGATCGATGAAGGTTTGTTATAGGAAAGCATAGTTCATAAGATAAGTTTGAATGCAGAGTTTGTATAACTTCGTAAGCTTGACTAGTGTCCTGGTGTTGTAGATCATGTTGTTGAATTTGTTTTAGATGTAACTGGTATACTCTATTTATATAGGTTCTTGTCAAAAGATACTTTATTTCTACACGTTTAGATTATGAAGTATCTGTTTCTTAAATATATAATTTGTTTCTGAAGAGGTTGGAATTACTTACACTTACATATTTGGCTCATAAGTAATTTGTGCTTAACTGGTATTGTTAAGGTTCATAGTTAGTTACTAGCTATAGTTGAGTCCTTATGCCTACTTAATTTGGTTCATAGAGTATTCTTCAAAATATAGGAGTTTAATCCAAAAACGTCTAAAACTAGGGGATCTAACTCTAGAATTACAACTAATATAGAGGCTTAAAAGTAGCCCTTTCTACTAAGTCTGTCTAGTAGGGTTGTTTCCTAGTACACTATTATTTTCTTGATAATAGGTGGTCATAAATAGAAGGTCTTCTGAGTCTAAATATAATTTTCTAAAGTTCATGTAAGGCCATACAAAATTAATTAATTGTTTCTCATAACATGTGAATTTAAAAATGACCCGCTTGCTTAGCTTTTAATTTTTTAATTATAAAAATTTTATACGTTTATTATCCAGAAAATATTAAAAAACATATATAATTTTTTTTTAATTTTTAAAAAAATCCACTTGGAAGTATTCATATCAATAACTTATAAAATTTTTTCTCGAAAATTTACAAAAGCTGACCTGACCAGGTTATGAGAAACAACTAATTAACTTTATATAGCCTAATATGAACTTAGTTTCCTTGGCTTAAAATAATATAGGTCATTTTTCGTGTTCTTATATTATGTAGATCAATTCTAGAAGTTGATGATCTTTTTTGGTATTCATATAACATAGATCAAGTGTGATATAGATCGTGATCAGCAAAGAGAGAAGAGAGGTTTCTTAGGAATTGTTAAAAAAGGAAGAGAAAGGTTTCTTTGTTTTGCAAGAAGGGTTTCTTAAAGGCTTCTTAGTTTAAAGTTCCTTAGGGTTTTCTTTCTTTAGAGATTCTAAATATTTAAAAATTTCCTTTAGTTTTCTTTCAGAAGGCACCAAAATATTAAAAGTGATATAGTGTTCTAAGTATATTACAAGTAACATAAGACACGGAAGAGGGACTCTCAACAGTATCAAAGCAGGATATTACTTTGCAAATACGATTCTTTAGAAAGATTATATTAAAGCAAAGAGTATTCTTTATTTATAATACAATATCAATAATACAAGACTATCTATTAGTGTCTGTGCTAAAAGAATTCCAATATTAAGGAGATTGTAGAAGACAAACCTAACTTTAACAAAAGGAAGAAAAGGCAGGGTTTTTATATCTTTTTCCTAAACATCTTCAAACGTAATTAAACATCTTCAAACGTAGTTAAACATCATCAAATGTCATCAAACATCTTCAAACATCATCAAATATCTTCAAACGTCATTAAACATCTTTAAGTGTAGTTAAGCGTAGTTAAATGTCAATAAGGATTTCTAAACGCTAATAACTCTATAATTACTAATCTAATTCTTACAAATTATAGCTCGTTGTGATAATGAGACTATTCTGATTCTAATAACGCTAGTTAAAGATATTGCTAACTTATAAGATAATTCATAAAATACAAATAAAGAATAACTAATTAATAAATATAAAATAAAGATAAAATTACTAAAACTCATTTGATAACATTATAATATATAATTACTAATTACATCAATATTTAATATTATGTATCATTAAACTGAATAGCTAAGAATTCACTTTATAAATAAATAAAAATCCTTATATCATATAATTCTATATTATCTTCAACTTATGTTCTACAGCTTTGAATTTAATGAATTATATTCACCTAGTGCTACTTATTTTATAGACAATTACTTCACAGACAACTTATTTTACAGACAATTAAATTGTAGAAAAGATTGTCTTATGACGATTAATTCACAGACAATATATTTCACTGATAGCACATTTCATAGATACAATAATTCTAGCTATTGTTATTACAGTTAGATTTAGAATTAGAGTTAAAGTTAGTGCAATTTATAAAAAAAACTTGTAAAATGAGCTGTCAGTAAAATATATTGTTTATTAAATGAAATTGTCTGAATTAATTATCTATAAAATAAATATTGTTAGTAAATTAATTTTGATAAACTAAGTTGGTAAAATAATATAGATTCATTATCTTTAGATAAGCAAATTATCTAATCTGAACATCATATAACAGTAATTTAAAATATAGTTTTTTTTTAATACGATATATTTATCAAAAACTTCTTAGATAATATGTAATATATAAGAAGTAATAAATAAATTAGAAAAATCAAGGCACAACTTGTATTTAGATCGTTAGTAACTTAACAGCAATGATAGTTTGGGTTTGATCATATAAAAAGTATTGCATGCATGATATATTTATCATTTGGAAGCAAGCATCTGGCTAACAGTATTACATATAAACTTTATTAAGTAATTATACGGCATACATCAGAGTGATTGATATATAAACTGAGATAGAATATACATCCAGAAATAGAAACTATAATTATACCGTTATCAGCTAAATTTATGATGTGTAGTATCAGTCAGTAGTTTCCCACATAGCATAAAGCAGGCTGACTTGATATGAGGTTTAAAGTTATGACAAAATAGCAGGATTCTGCTTGGGTTCTAGCTAATAGTACCAGATGTTAAATTAGCAATGATTATTTTTGATAGTATGTAGCGTATATCAGTACGATTGATGTGCTAAGAGTGTGCAGTGTACATCTGTGTGATTGATGTACTGAGAATATGAAGTGCATATCAGTGTAATTGATATGCTGAGTGTGTGTAGTGATTGATATACTGAGAATATGAAGCGTATATCAGTATGATTGATATATAAGCTGAGACAAAAGATGTTCCTAGAAAATAGCAACTGAAGTTGTGCTAAGCATCATTGTCATTAGCTAAGCTTGTAATATGTTGCATCAGTCAGTAGTTTCCTGTCTGCATAAAGCAAGCCAACTGGTATAAGGTTTGAAGATACTATGAAAGGTAAACTTCTGCTTGGTATGGGAGGAATGCTCTAGAAATAGTAACCAAAGTTGTACTAGGTCTCTTTGTCATCAGCTGAGCTCATAATATGTAGTATCAGTTAGTAGTTTCCTGCCTATATAAAGCAAGCCGACTGACATAAGGTTTGAAGATACTATAAAAGGTAAACTTCTTCCTAGAGATGGGAGGGATTGGTGTGAATTTCATTTATTGACTTTGGTGAAATACTCATGTGACTAATCACTCTGTTTAGTTTAGCATGAAATTATTATCAGTAATCATCTAATGATTCTGAATTGAGTAGCTGATTGAATTATACTTATCTGATGCATGTGCTTTTTTATGTGCTACTAGCTTATCTGGTCTGTATGACCTAGCAGAGTTAGTTCTGGCATATCCTTGCTTAGCAAACTTTTCAATTTGTTGACTTTTCGTTAACTTAAAAGAAAATATAATTAGATGATTTTATACTATATAGTTCATGACTCATCAAAATAGAGTTTATTGTAGCTTGTGTGTAATCTTATATTAATATTAAAGTATATGCTACCAATTTGTAGTTTAATAAAGCTAAATTATATATGTATAAATAAAGTAGAGAGATTAGTAAACCCAATGTATATTTTCTCTTATAAATTGTACAAACTGTAATAAAGATAACACAAATCTAGTTATTAAGTCTAGATAGCGGTTAAACCAGAGGCAAGTAAATATCTTAATTAATACTGTAAGAACATAGTTGAGAACTTTAAAGTGATTGAATTGAACTAGATCTACATGATATCGATTAAAGTTTTAACTTTATTAAGAATAGTACAGAAATTATTGAGTATAATTTTTTTTATTAGTAATTTACGAATAACTAAATTGAACAAATTTATATAATCATCTATGAATTATAAATTTTTACATACTATGATAGCAAGTATTTTACACAAACAAGTCAAAAATTTCATACAAAACAGTATGTAAAAGATCAAATATATATTTTGTTCAATGTTCAAAAAATAATTCAATTAGATAGAATACTATGTATATTTATTATGTAGTTAAAATACTATATAACTAACTGTACTTTTATTGATATAAAATATATTTATAAATCAGAAATGAATGAAGGAGCTGTAATATTTTCTTTAAATAATGTTTGTAGCTTCTATTTTGCATCCTTATTAATAGCAGGATGGACCATCTGATTAATATTATCTGTACTAATATTAATTTCATCTAACTGTATATCTTTATTGGTTTGGTCTTCTTCAGATATCATATTTATCCATTGGCACATTACTTCATTTCAGTTATCTACATTAATTATAGGTTCACATTTATTTGTTTCTTCTACTTCATCTATTTCATTTACTTCATCATCAGAGCTATTACTAGAATTTTTATTAAGTATTAGTAAAGATGGTGCAATATTATTTTGTTTATACTTTTCTATTGACATTTCAATTTCTTTTAATCAGTAATAATAATTCATAGTAGCATGAAGCTGGCTTATCTGAAGTACTTTCTGAGACTAATTTTTCAAAAAAATTAATAAGTTTTAAGAAAATTTCTCAGTTTAGTTTACATATAATGTATGTACATAGTTATTAATTAATAAATTGCACTTTGTATAGCATAGCTTTATTTAATTTTATAGTAAAGTTAATTTTAAAGTTTAGATAAAAGCTAGGGCTCTGCAAGCACTGAGTACGTACTATTAAAAATGGTGCTCAGGCCTGTGCCTAGTACTATGTTTTAATAATGCCTGTGTCTGGTACTTGCAGAGCCCTAATAAAAGCATATCTTATTTTAAAATTTTGTAAGAAATTTTTAGTAAAAAACAAAAATAATTTTACTAAAAAAATTTTAAGAAATACTTGTGTATATGTGTGTAATGTATAAATAGAAATTTTCTAAGTTTAAAATATAAAAATATTAAAAATTAATTTAACAAACCTTTAAATGAGATCGTATTTTGCTATGTAACTAATATATACAAGAAAAAAGCCTCTCAACAGAGACAGAATTAATACAAATTCCAAAAATACGACATGCAATTTTACCTAATTCTTTTGCTGAAGTGCTACAATATTCCCAATATTCCATAATATTAGCAAACTAATTTGCAACACGTACTGTAAATAGCTTTTCTTTTTTTCGATATTTTTCAAGCTCTAGTAAAAGAGTAAGCAGTTCATTACCAAACTAGTTATAAAAATAATATATAAGCTAATGTTAAGCTGAAAATAAAGTTGCTCATTTATTGAACTAAACATTAACATTCTATATTCAGGATGAAGAAGAAATGAAAGAAGTAATAAAAGCTGTTCCCATGAATCCCATCAGCACTCTAATCGACTAATTATATGATTAGCTAATTCTTTATTTGGATAATTTTTATATAAATTTAATAAATAGGATATACAATGAAGAACCTTATATAAACGTACTTTGTCTTGTTGTAACTTATTAAGACATGCACAATAAGGAAGAGAAGTTGAGAAAGCTCTTGTAGTTGTGACCACTAGCTTTCATTATTAATAATTCTACATATATTTTCAGGTAAATAAAGTGTACTAGATTCAATATTTGTAGAAAACTCAAATTTAGCAACTAAGGTCTATATTAGTAAATTTAAAATATGAATTAAAATAATTATTGTGTTAAATATTTTAAAATTGAGTAATCAGATATTTAATACAAAATACAATATATATATATAAATTAAACTTACTTTTAATGCACTTTTAGACTTAAGTAAAGAATTAACACAATAGAAATAGCTATTCCAATGTACTTCTATAGGACTAGCAAATGAAATAAAGTCTTTGTATAATAAATACTGCTCATCACGAAGTTTGCTAATAAAATAAGAATAGTTAGCATTTTTAAAATATCCTATAACTGTTATTGCTGACTTCATTGCTTTATTAAAATCATCAGATTCTTTAAAGATTTCGCTAATACACAAGTTAAACTGATGGGCAAAGTATAGCAAAAAAGTTTTATCAGTATGAGTTAATCTTAATTGACGTCTATAAATAATAATAAAAAAATTAATACTTCTATATTTATACAATAGTCTTTAAATTTAAATTCTGAAATTACCATGAGACTGCATAGGCTGCATTATTATCAGTTACAAGTCCTATTACTTTTATATTTAATGAATTAATTTCTTCAAACATTTCTTCAATAATTTGCATAATATCCTCATATTTCTTTCTGTGCCTACTTATATTAATTGCACTCTATACTAATGTTTCTCCACTCGATATAATTAAAACTAAACCTAAAATTTCCTGATTTACTACATTTTTCTATCTATCAAAAGCAATCATAATTCTATACAGATTCTTATTTGCTTTATTTTGAATATAAGATTTGTTAGTTTTAACTGCATTTTTTAGAATACGACCAGCTAATTGCTTTTGGCTAGGTAATTTTAAATATAGATTTAACTACTTATAGTATGCAATTACATTTTTTTCTTCTACCCATTTAAATGACCAACCATTTGCTATAGTAATATTTAAAATTTGATTTTCAAATTATACTTGTTCTAAAACAGTTAGTATGCGAGCAAGAAAATAATCAATTTTGGTCTTATTTTTTTCTGTCACTATTGTATTTTGAGCTATAGTTTTAATAATATCTTCATCAGAAGATTCTAAATTATAAAAATATTAAATTAGTTATATATAAATATGAAAATATATTATAATAAGATTTTTGAGGATTAATTCTATTTTTGTGAATTATATGCTTTATCTATTTTTTATTATTGAGTAATTAAATAACTTGTATATAAAATAAAGTTAAATTTTCTTTAACTATATTTTATATGCAAATTAGTTAATTGACTAATACAATAAAAAGAAGTATATAATTTATAGAAATAGAATTAATCTACTAAATAAGTTTATTTACAGTAATTTCAAAATATTCTCTTTACCTTGAAAATCTAGATGTAGTTTTTTAGCTAACTGTTCTTCATTATTTAAAATATTTTTTGCTTGTTCTTCTCTACTGACTTTATATATAAAATTTATACATACTTTGAGATAATTTTTTACTAATTTTTTTCTATTAACAAGTTTAACTTTTTCAGAATTTGATGCTTTAAAACAAGGCTCACAATAACAATATTTATTATTCAGTTTTAGAAGATTGACATATTCATTGGTAGTTATAATATATTCTGTAAGATAATGTTTTTGTCTTTCTCCAGAATAGTTTTTAGATTGAGGTTTTTTTGTAGCAGTAGACATTATAATTAAAAAAGGATTTATAATAACGTAAAAATAAGCTAAACTTATTAAATATATATATTTTTTAATTTTATAATAATACATTAATTTGGTTGGGTTTAATTTTATAACGATAAATTTTAAGTATAAAAATAAATTACTTATTCAATTAAAGAAAATTCTGGTTTAAACTTGGTTTGATTTAATATATGCAATTAGAAAAATTATATCATATGCAAGATACGATTTTAATTAATACTATATATAGTAAGATACAAGTAAATTTTAGAAAAATATATATGTACTGTTGAAGGCAAACTAGTATTTCCCTGATCTCTAAGAAATATTAAAAATGGAACCTAAGCTATATAACCTGGAATCCAAAATATGCACTGATTGACAAGGGTGAAGGCATTTAATTAAATGCTAATTTTGGTTTAGCTTAAGGCGATGCTCCATTGAGAACAATAATATGACACCTCTAGGATTTAAATAGTAAGAACTAAGTCATAGTCATGCAAATGAGTATAAATTATTTATTATTAGTTTAGAATTCCCCCTAATATCTTAATTAGTTATATTGCGTAATAGATCTTAATCATAGCAGTGAAGCCTCAATACTGTTGTAATATATAAAAGCCTAATTGTTTCATATAACTAAGAGATATTATTGATGAGTAGATTAGAATAGCCTTTTGATTCTAATAAAATACTATAAAACTCAACTAGCCTTAGCTAGTCAAATTGTTTTGCCTCTAAATTTATCAAGTAACATTACGCTGTATACTATCTCTGGAAGCAACAGTTCATTGTTCTTTGGTTTTAGAAGTATGTGTATAGTGGCAGGTTAGCCTACAACAGTAAATATGTACATAATGATTCTGATATAATTTTTTCTTTTGGGTAATTAGGTATCTAACTAAATTAGTATCATGATTGTTAAAGTCCACTAAATTGATAAAAAAACTTATTGTTTTACGTATTTTGCATTAATATATTATATGAAAATAGAATAAATCATACAAATATAATATGGATTTGGTGATCTTAGTATAGTGGTTAGGTTGCCAGACCACTATGCAAGAGGTCTAGGGTTCAAATCACACTGTTGACAAATTTGAATAATTACTCAGACCTTTGTACCCAACTTACAATAAACTCTGTTCGTTTCTGGGGTTGTAACCCTGTAAGTTAAGTTGTACCAAGTCAATCGGACATTGGTAGTGTGGCGGCAGTTAATCACAGAATAATATGTGTATACAAATAAATCTTGATAAGAAAAACATTAGTGTGGCGGTAGTTAATCATAGGATGATATGCGTACACAAATAATCTACAAGCAGGGGACCTGCATGGTAGAAATCCCAAGTTGGTAAAGTAGTATAGCTTTCAACGATCATACCGGCTAACACTTAATCCAAAAAGAAAACTATCATCAAAGATGCAGATTGAGTCAGGTGCGCATAAATCTGTTCTATAAGGAGGATCAGTAATACCAACCTGGCTTGGTAGCTAACTGGATTGGGAGGATCTGCCTCATGAAACATTCGAGAAGATAGATATAGAAAACTGGTAGATAGCCACAGTAGGAACTGGAGTTGTACGAACATCTGCAAGGGTCTAAGCTAGGTGAATTCGTGAAATGAATACGGACCGCTCTAGTAGGATTGCTTATGAGGTTAACTGAAGCTTTGTATGCCACAATATATTGAGCAATACGCATCTCGAGAGAACCTAAGCTGAGTTAGATAAATGGATCTGCAATGAGCTAGCTGGCTTAAGTAGTTAGGTATTACAGTGACGTTAGTTGGTTCTGGTATTGGTTAGGTGAACAGAGTATTTAAATAGGTAACTCACAAGTAGGTTACAGGTATAGCAGCTTGTGTAGAACCAAACAGGTGATCTATCTGTATGGCGGACTACTTAAATTAGACAATAACTAAAGTTGTATGTGTGGCAGGTTATACACTCTTTATGTAATTACAAACTGTAGGGGATTGTCAACAGACGATCTCATATACTAAACTAATAAAATCCACTCAGCAAAGTAAGCCACCTTTAATTAAAAAAAAAAAAAAAATTAAATCAGCTTATATGCAATAAGGATAAACATATTAATAAATATTAAATGATCGAATTAAAGTTATTAATAGGCAATAATGATATACATTCTCCTAAAATAACAGATACAGATAATGAATGTGATAATAATAGAAAAGTGTATGTTAATTTTTTTAATTTGCCTTAGTGATCAGATGAGGTAATTTATTTAATCATAAAATTTATTTCTCCATAAGTTCTAGTATAATATAAAATCAAAATAATTCGTTAGTTTAGGGTTAGATTAAAGTTGAGTAGATGCTTTAACGAAGGATACTAGTCTAAATTTTGAGAGTAATTTTTTTTGTTAGAATAAGAAAAGTAGTTTTATAAGCTAAATTTTGAACTACAAGTAATTTTTTAGAAATATCACTATTTTTTTCAATTTCACATTATGATCTGATTAGTTGATCAAATAGATATATTATAGCACATATATGCTAAATTATATAAATTTTTTTTTATACTAATTTTTAATTTTTTATTAAATAGCTATAAAGTATCCTATGAGACATCTTCAACTAAGTAACACTCTGTATTGTATCATTAAGGCCCTATAGATATGATGATAGCTAGTTCCAAATACTGGATGTAAAGTGGCTAGAAAGTGTTTTCTCCTGAGCTCATTTACATTTGAGGTCCCAAGAAGGCAAAAGTAAAAAATAGGAAAGAGAAATTCTATATGTTGAAATACTATACGTGGTAAAAAATATAAAAAGATAGAAAGTTTTCAAAGTTTTTAACTATGATAGCAATAATGATACCTATGATCCTAGTAGTAGTGATGAGAAAGAAGGGGAGGAGAAAGGAAAGGAAAAAGGAAAAAAAAAATAAAATTTTTATATTTTTGTTTTTAATTTTAATAAAAAATAGTAATTTATTATTAAACTTAGATTTAAAGTTATTTAATATTAATTTAATTTTTAAATAAAGTTTAATAATATTATACTAGATCATACTTAAATCGACCTTCTTTTTACCTACAATTCAGTCATTAATTGTATTATTTTCTGAAAATATATTTTTGCTTTCTTGATTTGGATAGCAGTGTTAAAAATTTGTCATATTATTATTGTTGTTTGCATAATAAAATTAACAATTACTGTGCAAATGTATAAAATCTAAAATAACATTTCTGTATAAAAAATTTTTCTTGCACAGTATATTTGTGTCAAATTTTTAACACTACTAGACAATACGAAGAGTAAGTTATTTGATAATCAAATTCTTGTATAATCTATAGAGGCTTTAATAGAAAAAGGTATATTAGATTTGATTAGTTGGTAGGGTTTTATAGTAGATTCTATCCTTTTGTATCTTGGTTTTGATATTTCTTTAGTTCCCTTTTTAATTCTATATTTCTCAATTCTTTAAATTAGGTTATCCTTCAATTTTGGTCTAGAATCTGATTATTTTTTGGATCTATACTACTTCAGATATCCTTTTCTTTCTTCTTAAAATTTTACAAATTAAGAAAGTAAAGAATTGTTTGATAATATCAAATATCAGTTATAAAATATATGTAGTCAAACTTATATCAATTTAGTTTAATAGTGATATAGTAAATAAAGTAGCTGAACTGATCTGGTGTCAATTGTATGATAATAAAACTTGCTCAAATAATAAATTAGATAAAGTAGTCGAATTAGTATTGATTTGTGATAATAAAATTTACTTAACTAATAGTTAGATAAACAAGTCAAATTGTTATTAATTGTAATAATAAAACTTGTTTAAATAATAACTAGATAAATAAACTGAATTTATGTCAATTTGTGATAATAAAACTTACTCAACTGATAGTTAAATAAACAAGTCAAATTAGTAATAACAAAACTTGTTTAAATAATAACTAGATAAATTAACTGAATTAGTATAGATTTGTGATAATTAAACTTATTCAACTGATAGTTAGATAAGAAAGTTGAATTTTTGGAGATTGTGATAGTAATAAAATGATAAAAACTTACTAATAAAATTTATTGTTTTATTAATATCATAATCTCCAAAAATTCAATTTTCTTATCTTACTATCAGTTAAATAAGTTTTATTATTACAAATCGACACTAATTCAGTTAATTTATCTAGTTATTATTTAAACAAGTTTTGTTATCACCAATTAAACTTGTTTATTTAACTATTGGTTAAGTAAGTTTTATTATCACAAATTGACACAAATTCAGTTAATTTATCTAGTTATTATTTAAACAAGTTTTATTATCACAATTAACAACAATTTAACTTGTTTATCTAACTATCAGTTAAGTAAGTTTTATTATCACAAATCAACACTAATTCGACTACTTTATCTAATTTATCATTTGAGCAAGTTTTATTATTACACAATTGATACCAGATCAGTTCAGCTACTTTATTTACTATATCACTATTGAACTAAATCAATATAAGTTTGACTACATATATTTTATGACTGATATCTGATATTACCAAACAATTCTTCACTTTCTTAATTTGTAAAATTTTGAGAAGAAAGAAAAGGATATCTGAAGTAGTGTGAATTCAAAAAATAACTAGGTTCTGGAACCAAAATTGAAGAATAACCTAATTTAAAAATTGAGAAATATAGAATTAAAAAGGAAATCAAAGGAATACTAAAACCAAAATACAAGAAGATAGAACTTACTATAAAACCTCACCAACTCATCAAATCTAATATGTCTGTTTCAGTAAAGCCTACTGTAGGTTATGCAAGAATTTAGATTATCAAGTAATTTACTCTTCACATTATCTAGTAGTATTAAAAATTCGACACAAATATACTGTGCAAGAAAAATTTTTTATACAAAAATGTTATTTTAGGTTTTGTATATCTGCACAGTAATTATTAATTTTATTATGCAAACAATAATAAAAATATAACAAATTTTAATACTGCTATTCAAATCAAGAAAGCAAAAAT